GTGTTAGTAGTATTGTAAACCCTTCTATATGTTTAATTGTATGCTTGCATGAATGATGTGATTATGTAATTATGAATAAATAAGCATGATGAAGCTATTGAATCCCAAATCTTGAAAAGAAACCCTAATCTACTTTGTTAATGATGATGCCTTGGTATAAAAGAAGGCTTGATGAACGAAAGTAGTGAGATTAGGGGATCGGGTCCCACGTTCCGGTACCAAGATAGAATATGAGGATCGGAGTGTCACGTTCCGACACCAGGATAGAATATGGATCGGGTGCCACGTTCCGGTACCAGGATAGTATATGAGGATCGGGTGTCACGTTCCGACACCAGGATAGAATATGGATCGGGTGCCACGTTCCGTTACCAGGATAGAATATGGATCGGGTGTCACGTTCCGACACCAGGATAGAATATGGATCGGGTGCCACGTTCTGGTACCAGGATAGTATATGAGGATCGGAGTGTCACGTTCCGACACCAGGATAGAATATGGATCGGGTGCCACGTTCCGGTACCAGGATAGAATGAGGATCGGAGTGTCACGTTCCGACACCAGGATAGTATATTGAGGAGCGGAGTGTCACGTACCGACACGAGGGGAATAAAGATAATGAATCTTGAAATATGTTAATATATCCAATCTAATGAACTAAATTCCCAAATGAGTATGATGAGGAGGTGTGAGTCCTCATTGATGTGCTTGGTGTTGTAACCAAGGGTTATGGTAACTGTAAATGCTGCATCCTAAGGATATTAGTTGATTTTATGATATTGCTTAATACATACTGTTTTCTATTTTGAGTTGGCCGATGATATCTACTCAGTACCCGTGTTTTGTACTGACCCCTACTTTTATGTTTTCTTCTTGTTTATTTGTGGAGTTCAGAAAACGTGTCGTCGTCTTCGACTCAACAGTAATTCAAGCCAGTCTTACTACATCGAAAATTCAGGGTGAGCTAATGCTTCTAGCTTGGACTGGATCTTCTTCTTCAAGTCTTGATGCCTTGAATTCCGGCATGGACTAGCTTCTTATGTATTTTTAGCTTCTTAGAATACTCTTAGTTTAATAATTTGATTATAGATGTTCTTGTGATGATGACTTCCAGATTTTGGGAAATAATAGTATTGAATTGGTTTATTAATGAGTTTAAGTCTTCCGCATTACTTTATGTTGATATTACATTGAAATGTTAAGGTTTAGATTGGTTGGTTCGCTCACATAGGAGGGTAAGTGTGGGTGCCAGTCGCGGCCCGGATTTGGGTCGTGACACTTCATTATCTACATTTAATTAGTACGAATATATGATGCATTAAGATTTTATTTGATGCATGAATTTAAATATAAATTTTACTTAATATTTAATTAATTAAATAGATATTAATATTAATTAATTTTAGAGGTAAAATAAGGGTAAAATGGTAATTCAACTTTGAGGTTAGAAGCTTCCCACTTATAATAATACTAGTTCCAGAAAAGTGTGTTGCACGTTTATTCCAAAATATTTTATATAAATTTTTTTTTGTAAATGACATATTTTCTCTACTTCAAATTTATTGATATTTACCAAAAAATTCATTGTTTTTACAATTGAAAGTTCATATATCATCCTAATAAAAACAACACAAATCCTTAATTATAAATTGACTAAAAGTGCATAAATGGTTGATTCATGTACTAATATGATGATTTACTATTCAATATTTAGTTTATTAAATAATTTATAACATTGAAATTTAATGTAGAAATAGAATTGTAATCTAACTTTTTCCTTACATATATACACACGATGATATAATATTATATTCTTAGTTTACTTAATTAATTGTTAATTATGTTTTTTTTTTCTTTTGTATGTGAATGGTTCATAAGAAGTTGGTATTATTTGGTATTATTGAAATTGTTAAAAGACTAAAAGATTGCAATTTATTCAACTCCTAAATCTTGTAAATCTTTATTTTTCTAATTTTTGGTAATTAAAATCCAAGTTTCATAATGTTCTTTTTTGGCATAGACAAGATAAAGATAAGACTTAGACTCAACAATTTCAAGATCCAATATGGATAAAACTATCACTACTACATGAAATTAGATCCTTTATAATACTCTAAAATTGAATTAATTAGAGAGTGTGATATAATAATTATAACTCATGAGAGTTATTTAAAAACAATTTCACAAATGAACTGAAATCAACATATTTATTTTGATTCCTACTTCACGCGAGTAATGAAATATTATTATTATATAAAATCAAAGAAATTAGCAAGTCATAACATTCTTGCAATAAACACAACTTTCAATTCTTCTTCAAATCAGAAACATCAAACATCTTAATAGAATAATACTCAAATGTAACTAAATAAATAAAAGCAATTGGAAAAAAAGAGCTATCAGTTTAAATCTTGAATAAACACACACACACTTTTCATTTATTCATGCCAATAACATTTTTAACTATATCTACCGGCCCTTGTATAGAACCCTTTAACTGACACATTAAAGATAAATAATGGAAAAGAAGAAGAGGACATGTGGTATTGTAACTCCAGAAGAAAACCTCAATGAATTTACCATGCTTCATTGAAGTGACTATTTATAAAATTCTATAAGTATACTTGGAAGTTGAAAAGTCCTTACAAACATTGAATTAATTTAGTAAGATGAAAAGTTATTTTAAAGTATTGAAAATGTTGAAATAAATAACAATTGCAAGTATATTAGTTCACCTCTTTGTATACCCAAATACTTCATTGATTTTTATTAAAATTTAAATATGCCATGAATGTGTAAATTATGGTGTAGTGTTGAATATGATGATTTTCTTTATAAATGATAGAATATTTAATTAATATTTTTATAATAATTTTATTTAGTGTAGGATAAAATGGTAATTCAACTTTTCACTTTGAAGTTCCCACTTATAATAATATACTAGTTCCAAACACGTGCGTTGCACGTGTTCCTCAAGCTAAATTGCATGAAGTTGTTGTAACGATGTGTTTGTATGACCTCTTTGATATTAAAGATGAAGAAACCACAAATATTGTGAAATAAAAATAATTATATGTTAAATGGTGCGTACATTTTGATTTAGTAATTTGCTGATAGAATAAAAATAGATCAACAAGAAAATAATTACAAATTAAAATAATTAATTAAGATAAATATATAAAAAAACTTTCACATATTTTTAAGAAAATATTAGGCAAAATAGAAGGCATACCATTATATAAGAAAACTCACATTTATAAGAAAACTTTCAAATTTTCTTTTCAAGAAAATAAAAAAAGTCTTTCTTTTGTAATGGAAGATATATGTACGTTTTTCTTGTAAAGACGGTTTAACTTAACTAAGAGAAAAGTAATTAATTAAATTGGACAATTTGAACTTAAACTTCATATTAGAATTAAAATGAATTAAATGAAAGAAAATGAAGGATAAGAATCAAAGTCTCAAACATCTTTACATATTTCACCTGTAGCTAGAGACTTTTAGTAGATGAATATGGTCAATATATTAAATTAAGTGTATTTAATTATTAAGTAACCCTTCAATTTCTTCAAATTTTATAATTTCAAAGAGTGTTATACTCTATACAAATTTATAGGATAATTCTAGTAATCTAACCTTAACTTTGTTGCTTCACACTTTTAATAGAACTAATAATTCTATTTTTTTAATAAAGTTTGTAAAATAAAATAGTAAATCAAGAAAAAGTACTTTAAAAGCTATACAACTTATGTGGTTATCAAAGCAAGAACAATTATCAATCATGCAAAGACTTAAATCATAAAACTCAAAGTCTTATTGTGTACAATAATATTTTATTTGTAGTTATTTATTTATCAAATAGGAAAGAAAATAGAAATTTTTTAATGGTAAATAAAAGAACACCTCTAAAGAATCAACAAAAATATTATAAAATGAAGCTAAAATTAACAATGTGAAAGAAAAAAGTAGTAACAATGTGAAAGAAAAAGAGATGACAACTTTCTTTATTCTCTTCCAATTATTCAAAATCTCTTCGATAGGATATAATTGAGGGACTCAAAGGATTGTCATGAATATGTCATTAACCAATTTCATGGATGAAAGGTGAAAGTAACAAGTATATTATTATGAACATCAACAAATGTATAATATCATCATTTCTAATATAATAACACAAAATAAAAATTCCACTTGAACACATAATAGAGAAATCTTAGCAGATCTTAGTTAATCTACAATAAAATTATCAAATAAATATTAAGATACAATAAATGAAGAGAAGTAGCTATCATCAAAACTAAGACAATATATATCATGACATAATTTACAGATCGAAAAATTAGTGAAGCACACAGTGGTATTTATAACCAAGATATATAAAAACTCAAAAGTCAAGTTAGAAAAAGATCATTAAAATATCATTAAATCTCTTTATTACAGAAGTGAAAGGACACTCTATATTTTATTCTTTAGAAATGATTAGATTTTCAAAACTATTAAAATCCAAATTTATAGTTATTCTTTAAAGTTAAAACATATGACTATAAGTATTCAACATATATACTAATACTCATAAAAGAATATGAAGAACCAATTTTGAAACTGTTAAAACATTTATTGTATGGTAGTCAATATGATACTTAGCATTTATTTAAACATATGTTTACATCTTTTTTTACACAAATTATTAAAGAAGTATTTTCTTTATTTAAAGATAAAAATATTTAATTAATTATATAAGATGAATTTAATTAAATATTTTATAGCCTTTTCATTAAATGTAGGGATAAAATGGTAATTCAACTTTTATGTTTTGAAGTTCATGCCTATAATAATGTATGATATGATATGATATATATATATATATATATATGATATATAGTTTCTAAAAAAAATTTCCTTGCAAGTATTTGTTTGTTAGCTGACGTTGCGCTTTCAGTTTCCATATTCAATATCCAGAGAAGTGCAAATGTTTATGTTTGTATATAGAGTAAAAAATAAATGCATATGAGATAAAGTTTTCCATTATTAAATTGATCAGGGAAAAATGGTGAAAAGAAAAAAGGAAACTTCTGTCATATGCTTACTTCCCAGAAAACGTAAAATATAGCAAGGTGAAGTACATGAAGAAGAGATAGCAAAAGAACTTGGTAACAGTCCACTCATATCCTACTATGACTGTCCGGATGAATAGGTAAAGGAGCTCAATTATTCCATGATATCAGTCGAGCACACAGAACATCAGTGGAGTACACAAAATTTTCAACAACAAGTTCCCATCTATGTGTAAAGGTTCGCCTTGCAAATGTAGTGTTTACTTTCAAGTGGTGTATGGCTAAATGACACCTCTTAATATAAGATACTTCCGCGACTGCAGGACATGACAGTTTGTCCTTTAGGCATCAGAAGGTTTCCAAGATTTTGAAGGAATCAGTGCCAATCCATCAAGGAATATGAATCTATACCTTCCCAAAAGCATGAAGGTAGAGCTGAATACATCCCAGCTTCTCTTTTCCTATAGAAAACTGTCCTGTCAATGGAGATGATTGGCTGAACTGTTGAAGAATTTCGCACACTAAGAAACATAACAGCAGCATACATAGAACCTATGGCATTGAAAAGATCTTGTTGCCTTCCCACTGAAATTTGGTGCAAGCAAAACATTAGACCTGAAACTAAGAGAAACAAATGTCTTCAAAATCAGGAGCAGTTCTTGTAGTGTACCTTTTTTATTTTTTCCCTCTTTACCCCTTGGAGCCAGGATGCCAGAATATTGTTCCAAACATCAGAGCAACAAAGATTGTAAACAGAAACATGACTGCTGTGTATGGAGGATTTCTCCAGTATGGTCACAGATCAGTGCTGTTTCCAGAGGTAAGTTATGCATTGTGTGAAGAAAGACTGAGAATACTTTGTAGGGAAGTATAAATCTTTTGACCCTGGGGCTAGCACACTTAGTTCCTTGATTAATGCTTTGTTTCTCCTGAATTATGTGGTAAACGAGTATACTTCAGAATCAAGATTAAACATGTCAAGTTCTGTTCAGTTTAACTAAAGTTTGATTTCGTTTCAAAAAGAATTTCATACTTGTACAACTCTGAGTTCTTGTACAGTTCTGCAGAGTCGATTCCAAGAAGTTCCCTTCTTGTGCTGCAGCAGTGATCTCCAACATCCATGTCGCAGGATTATAACCTTCTTTTGTCTAAGGTACTCCATCAATTCCCCGAGGCCAAAATTAAAGAGCCATTAGTTTTAGTACCTAGCCAGCATTATGATGTCAATTATCTTATCTACATTTTCTCACCTCGAAATACTTAATAAGCTGAAAAGAATGGTGTCCTAGTGGAACGACGTATGTTTCTTCACCTCCCATTTTAGAAGTAGCAGCTGCAGTTAGTTGTAGAAGAATTAGGTTGTTTGTCTCTAAATAAAAATTAAACAAAGAAAATGTATTCACCTCATCAAAAGCATCAAATATGTCAATGCTTGGCTAATGAATGGTTGCATACCACTGTTCGACCAGTATCTACTTCATTTCTCACTATCCTCATCACTATTGCAGCTGCCGTAGCATTTAGTGCTGAGATTGGTTCATCCATGAATCTTGTGGAAGGACTGGAAACAAGCTCAACTGCAATTGTAAGTCTCTTTCGCTATTCAGTTGATAGACCATTCACTCCAGGCAAGCCAACTACTAATTATCTTCATGGGGTTAACTCTACAAGCTCCATGACCTCTTCAATATACATCTGCAGCATCAATATATAGTTTAGGAGCTAGTTTCTATAAGCATTACCTGAGTGGTTTTTCTTATTTCTTAAATTTACCCTTCTAGTTGCACTGTCAACTTCCTGAGGCAACTGAAGCCAAGCAGAATATTGCAAGGATTCATATACTGTGTCACATGTGGTGAATGAATGTCAGTTTGCTGACAGTATCCTGCTATTCAAGCAAATGTTTCTTGCTTCATGGGGTACCCTGATATAGGTGATGCTTCCTTCTATATGTCCACCAGTTTTCCTTCTGGCTAAGACATCTATCATGGTGGTCTTACCAGCTCCAGTAACACCCATAAGAGCTGTCAAAACTCCAGGCCTAAAAGCACCACTTACACCTTTCAAGAGTTCAAGCCGATCCTCAGTAAACCTGATCTTTCATTTCCTGGAGTCACAACACTATTTTTATTTTGTGCAGGATAGGAGATCAGATCGAAACAAGTAGAGCTTTTATTGTCTGCAGCATTCACTTTAGAAGTAGTTTCAAACAGGTATATCACTGTAAATTTTCCAATGAGTAATATTGCAACTTAAAGGGGATCAAAAGGAAGAATTGTTCCTCTTTTCTTGTTCGTGTTTGTATCGGCCCCGTTGATGCTTCCTACTCTTGAGGACATAAACCTGGAAGATACACTTCGTAGAACTTCATTTCCTCCTGCCTTTTTGTAAACTATATCAAAAGATCTCCTTTCTCCTGTTGATAATTCAGTAGCTTCACCCCTTGTGTTGGCTATCCTTGTCTGTCACAGTTTCTTCAGATAGAATTGGCTGAGGTTTCCCAAAAGCTGCACAAATAGCTCTCCCACATAGTCAATGTGTATTCCTATTATAGATGGTATAGAGAATAAGTTGCATAACACGGGTTTCTGAATCCTTACGGTTGAGATAAGTTAGGGCCACTGAAAAAAGGAAATTGAAGAGCAAAACATATCCAAGAAGAGCTCCTACTCCTAACTAATACCAGCTTACTGATGGAAAGAGTCCACACAATTTTAAGTGTGTTTCACCTAAGGTATCTGTGGAGTTTGGAGGAAACTACAAACCAAAGAGAAAGGTGAGCTTTCAATGATGCAGCCTCGACAGTTTTTTTTTCGTTTTAATAGAAGTTCATAGTCTCTTATTTACATGCGCCCAACTCTTCCCGAGAAATTCATTGACAGCAATGGCATTTTGTGCATATATCAAAGGCAAAAACCAGCAGCCCCATATCCACCATTCTGACAGGGTGAACATATAAGTTGTATATTGTACTTGCAGTTTCTCAACACTGCTTGAAATGTTACCTCTAGATACAATGAATCCACCCATAACCATAACTGTAAGTAGTGCAAATGATCCTAGTGTGTTTGCAACTATTAGATTTCTTCCAACAGCTGCCAATAAGCAAAATAGTGCCGAGGCCATCTAGTCAACAGATATAAGAAGAAATATCTGTTTGAAAAACTTGCAAATTGTGAATCCATCTCCATCAGATTGGGAACTGAAAACATTGTTGCGTATGAATGAAAAAGACTGATTTTTACCTCTCACTATCTGCATCAAATCCTACTACATAATGAGTCATGCACAGCCAAATACAAACTTCTGCAAGTGTGATTGGCATCTTAAGAATCCATGTAGGTAGAGTATATGCACCAGTGTTACTAAAGGTGAAAAGCGGTAGAAAGCTCTAAGGTCCTTAGGGGCTTTAAGTGCAAATAAAGCGTGAGCTTTAATGAAAAAAGGCGCAAAGGGAGAAAAAAGTACAAATGTATATGTTTAGTCCAAGACTAATAATTATAAGCAAGAATGACAAATATATGACAAAAGAAATTGGAAAAAGAAATGGTAAAGTGAAATATCAATTGTTTAGTGTCGCAATCTTCATAAAGCTCATTGGTAAAGAAAAGTTTGTCTTAGAACCTTGATGACGACACTGAAGCACATATAAAGTGAGGCGAAGGCACTCAACACGTTTTGAGGCTCCCTCCAGGGCTTAAACACGCCTTTGATAACACTGATATGCCCAAGCAGAAAAGAAGAGAAATTCACCTTGTCTATAGAAGACTGGAAGCTTCACAATACTGAGTATCCATTGAACATAATCATCATTGCAGCAACAGTGCACCCAAGTACACACCCGCATCCCTTGCTTTATTCTTGTGCAGCTCCGTTCGTAGGATTAGTGTCGTTATTATGAAAGCCATTATGATAAGCTGGAAAGTAGAACAGAATATTTTGTTTACCGCAAGATTAGCATTCAACAGCTTTAAAGGGTAAATTTTTTTCAATCCTTTGAAATGTTACTCACTTGTATACTATCTTGAATATACAGATGAATGTATTTCTCTTCATAAGAAGGAATTCTCTCGCTGAGCAACCCTTCAGTAATTCCTTCTTGCTTACACGATACCTCTGTGTGGTTAGAGCAGCAGGGTGGCTCTGGGATTTGTGAAAAGGAACACCAAGCTCATCCCCTAGCTTCTGTCCAATGTGAAAAGACTGGAACTTGTCTGACAATTACAAACTTATAAGGTTCATCTCGATTAGCTTAGTATTGCTCTTGATCCTTCCGTGATGTTACCTGATATTAACACAAAAAGACTTAATCAGAAACCTGAAATGTTCCGCGATTGGGAATGAGGCTTACTTCTAGTAAGAAATCAGCTTCTCCTTTCCTCTCAGGACATCTGAATCACATGTACTCAAAGAACTCTAAGATGTTTTCACGTGAACCTTGGTAAGCAATTGGTCCATCTGATAGAAGAACTATGTCACCGACTAAGTTATAAGTTTCTCGTGCAGGCTGCAAGAGTGAGATCATAGTAGTTCCTTAAAGAGTGTAGATTGATTGCCTGATTGAATTCATTATCTGAAATGTTGTTGAACTGTCTAAGACAGTTGAAATCTCATCTGTGAATAGCGATATAACTGGTCCAACCGTCATCTCCCCTGTACGATATGTTATCATCATTTTTATTCCCTCAACCATTAATTACTACGGCTGGGTTCTGGATCATCAGGTTTTGCTCTAACTTGCAGTAACTCGCTTACTGTCCGTCTGAAATGCCTCGAAACATTTCATACACAGATGTCAAGTCTCAATATCTGCAAAATTTGCAGAATGAAACTTTGTATTGCAGGAAACATTTCTTCATTGAACTTGTAATTCAGGAAATGACTCTTACCTTGAGAATATAGTCTGTTACAACACTGGCATCCTGCCCTGCCTGTTGAACAAAAAACCAATATTCGAGTCATTTCTCATCAAAATTGACAAAGAGTAAGACTGAATTTTCATTGAGACGTCTTTACCTTCATAAAGATATCGACATCAGGATCAGGCTTAATGTTTGCTTCCTTCTCTCTGATAGACAGCTCAGCTAACATTTCCACATAGTTTTTTTTTAAAGAAAATGCCCAGCAGTCCAATTCTAGAGGTGAAACTTGCTTAATTATCAGAGTTCATAAGATGAGAAAATGTCTCCGACCATATCTGGGCCAACTCCTTGACATCTTGAAGAGAAGGCTAGTGTCTCCCTGACTGTTAATTCTCCGATATGAAGATCATTTTTGACTTATATAAGCAGATGCCCTTTGTGGTACAAACTCATCCATCCCATGACCATTGTATGTCACACTCCCGGACATATGAAAGCCTCAGAAAGAATGCATAAAGTTATCGACATGAAATTCGAGATTGCCTGAATTAAATTTCTAGTCTGTATATGACTTATGTTTCTTACTCTATGATCTCCATCTAGTTTTCCAGCCAAAGGTAAACAGCATGATCAGCACATTGCATGAAGTAATGACATATATCTTCAATACTATTTATGCTTGATAAAAGTTCAGATTAAATTACCTCTAAGATGTTAATTGTGAAGTTTAATATTGTAGGTACACCTCTATCGCCAACACAAGTTTCTGCATCTACACTCAGTTGATCGAAGCTCCCTACTTGTATTGTTGGAAGATCAAGATCAACTCTGTATCATTCAAAAAGCAAAAGACAACAAACACCTCATTGAGGCTTACACTAATAAAAAAAAAAAGACCATTAATTTATTTTGATGTCTATCAAAGTTCATAAGAAAATGTACGTTTAAACATTTGATATGACAGAATGTTAAGTCTGAAATGTTGAACATGACATTATGGAGAGAACATTTTACCTATCAATATGATTGTTTGAGCTTTAACAAGAACTTGTCATTGTCTTCCTCTGCAATTTCGACAAGTCTTTCAAAGATCAGTTATATCAACTTCTCTAGACTGTCCTTGTTCAGTTAATATACCTCTCCTTATACGAAGATACGTTGGAAGTTTCTCTATATATAGCAGCCCATTTTAATGCCTCTTCATCATCTTCTTCTTGAGAAGATGGTGAGAACACATCACATCAATTGTACTTCTGAATCGGGCGTTGCTCACCTTTAAAATGTCTCTAGCAGTACCTTCAATTGAAAGCTGCAGAACAAGTGAATATTGAAATCAAGTTGAATGCTAGGAACTGTTATATATGTTGCTTAATGAGCCAAGTCAAGTGTAGGTTAGGGCTATCTGCAACTTGTTCACTGGAGAGCCCATTCAACAGGATTTTCTTCATACCAGGGCTCGAAATCGAAAATCGAGAGCTCTATTTAAGGACCAGTGCACCTCAATTCATGTTGGTTTTCATCAACCATACTTGCTTTTATTTATTTGGAGATTATTTAATTCATTATTTCAATTTCAAGTTTGAAGTTTGAAAAAACAGGCTAACATGAAAAAGTTGTTATAATTTGATTTTCAAGTGAAATTCATGTCAAAACATGATTTCAACTTCAAATAGTTTTTTTTTTTAGGAACTCCAATTAAATTAGATCAGAATACTTAACAACCTCACGAAGTATAATTAATTAGGCTATTACTTAAATTTTAGCTGATCGCATGTTATGGTGATATGGGATGAACCAAATCATATTATTAGCTTAAAATATTAAAATTAATCCAACTAAAATTCCATTTAAAAGAACTCGAACGTAATAACAATATATATATAATGACTGCTCAGAAAGTCATACAGACGCATTTTTATTTTGTTTTGTTTTTCCTTGCAAAGCCCAAAACAAAAGAGAAAAGATTATTAAGAAAAAGAGATTATTTTTTTTGCTTTTCCTTGAAAAGGCCCAAAAGCAAGCGATTATTTCAAAAAATAAATAAAAGGGGCAACTTTCACATATAGCAAACACAAAATTCATATTTATATACTATAACAAAGTTTGCATAATTGCGCTCAATTGCAAACATATATATGTGTAATTCGCTATACATATACAATTGAAGTAAATTGTATAAAACAAGAAAGAGAGAAATTATATACAATTTAAATTTGTGTAAAACTAGAAAGAGAGAAAGGCAAAACAGATCTGGGCAAGAAAATACTTGTATTGTATAATTATAAGTGTATAGGACGATTATATACAATTTGAATTTGTAATAAAATGAGAAAGAGAGAAAGGCAAAAGAGAATTGGGCAGGGAATATACAATTGAATCGAATTGTATAAAATGAGAAAGAAAGAAATTATATACAATTTGAATTTGTATAAAACGAGAAAGAGAGAAAGGCAAAAGAAACTAGGTAAAGGAATATTTTTATTGTATAATTATAAGTGTATAAGACGAAAATATATGTATTTGTATGTGTATATACAATTTTCTCTCGCTTTATACAAACAAAAACAAAATGTATACATTTTGTTTCTGTTTGTATGAGCGAGAGAATCGAGGGTGACGAGTGAGATTAGGGAGAGTGACAAATGAGATCTGGGAGTGGGGAGAGAGAGGAGCGAAAATATATGTATTTATATAATTTTCTCTCGCTTTACACAAATACAAACACGTTTTATACATTTGTATTTTTATAAAAAGCGAGAGTGGTGAGCGAGACTGCCACCAAGCGAGAGTGGTGAGCGAGACTGCCACCAAACGAGAGTGGCGAATGAGATTCCACCTAGGAGAGTGGCGAAAATAGTTATAGTTTGCTATAGGGCACAATTAAATAAAAGTATATTTATAGCATTTAATTTAATTTGACTTAATAGTTTACTATTATATACAATTTTTCCAATGACAAATAGCAGTTATAGTTACGTTTGCTATGGAGATTGCGGTTTTATATTTTTATCAATTTCTATATTTCACTTGTGCATATACAAACAATAAGAAAAAGAGAAAATTTCAAAAAAAACCCGTTAAAGTTACGTTTGCTATGGAGATTACAGTTGTATATTTTTGTCCGTTTCTATACTTCACTTGTGAATATTCAAATAAGATGAATATATACATCATGCATTTATATATTTAGAAACTTTTTAGAACCCTATTTGTATATTTTGCTTGCCAATATACAAGTAAGGTAATTTA